ATGAAACAAAATAGACACAATCTTAAATTTTGAGGGTCACAGCTGAATAAGATTAAAGTTAATATCAGCGTTAGTAATATAAAACGGGATGGAGAATTATTTTGTTACCTATCGAAGAACGAATCTGGATAAAATGATAATACAGATTTCAATTACTATAATTAAATTGCTACAATGTTAATGTTAATAATAATAAACACATTGTAATGGGTCAATTAGTAACTAAATTAAGTATACAGGGTGTCAAGGAAATAGGTGGCTAGACTTTCGTACCATATTCTTGTTACGTCCGTAACGAATTGCTACGACCATTTTCTGTTCCCGGGGAAAGAAATTATTAGTATGTTTGAAAAAACACAGATATTGTTCCCGAGTGTTGGCTGGGCGTTTTCATACTGTGCATACTTGGGCCACCCAGGGCCACTGTAATAAATTAAGTACGAACCGGGATGTACCACTTACCACTTGAAATGCAGAAATTTTCAAGGGCTTGCCCTTCGAGATCGGGAACATTGGGGTGTTGCGTCTGGCGCTTTCTCACGTTGGAATAATTGTGCAGTGCCTGGAGTCGGCTCAGCACGTGGTCATGGTGGGAAATGATCCGGAGACGTTCGGCATTGGATTTTCTTACATCGACAAACCCGAGGACAGGGGGTGGGAACGGGCATCTTAAAAAGGCTCGCACTGGAGAACTCGGTGCCAGTTTTATACAACCAGTTGTCGAGTCACTTCATCATAAAACCAGTTTCTCGCGTTGTTTAAATGCGTGTTACTAAACATCGAATACAATTAAGTAAAGACTTAGATATCAAGAAAACAACTTACACCAGGATAAATCCCTTAAATGGATTGGCCAGAATAAGGGACAAGTAAATATTTCGCTGTGGAAATTCGCAACATTTTACTGTTTTCTAAGGGTGAAAAAGTGTCATACAAACATAAGTCCGAAAATTCTTCCTTTTCGAAGTATAGACATTTTCCGAATACGATAATGTTTTGCAGGAATGTTTAAAACTTACTTAAAGAAATTGCTGAAATCATTTCCTTCTGCAACAATATATGCTTCGCGTCGACATTTTAAAGACTGTCGAACACGTTCAAAAATTCGTGGTGTACATTCCGAAATGTTTCACATTCGACAATAATTCGGTTTACATGTGTTAAATACAACTACATATAAACTACATTTTTACGATTGTTACATTCCGAATAAAATTCTCTTTTCTTTTTCGGCTGGAGTGCGTTACGATAATGCTGTAACATAACGCATTCTTTTCCTTGGAATCCACGTGATCCCACATTCAGATCGCTTGATTATAATGCGAGGTAGATATTTACTTCGTCGAACTGCCGAATGTAAACCGAATCTCTGGCGTCCAGTCCGATAAAATATCGAGCATCTCGGACTTTCCTCTTCGCGTGCGCAGTTAAATTCAAAATTATAATCTAAATTGTTATAGAACTCGTAGTTTTGATTCTAAATTCTAAATCGTATATCGAACTCCGTTGCTACACATCGGTCAGCACTATACATACTATATATATATGTATTTCTATGTAAGAGGAAAGGCATATCTGATTTTAACATTTACTATTTGTCTCATCGGATAATAGTCATGTCATATATCATTTAATTAATTGTGGAAGTTATGCCTTTCTCTCTATTAGCGTCGTAAATTAAGAACATTCCATCTATAACTTTATCAAAATTCAGCGTACAGTTAGCTCAAAAGATAGTAAAAATTCCCATAGCCGTGACTAAAGGGTAAAAGAATTCTTTCGGAGAAACCCACGGAAAAAGAATAGAATTAGAGGAGGAAGGACATATTGAATTAATCACAGTGTGTGTGTGTGTTCTTCCTCATCAGGTTCACTTCCGGTAACACACAAATATAAAAGTCTAAGAAGGGAGAGAATTCTAGGAATTACAAAATAGAGGAATTTTATTGAATAATAGTCCAACACCGTTAGAATTTAGGTGAGTCGTTTCCGTTATTCTTCCAGTGCAATTCATCGGAAATTATTAGACAAGTAGTCTCTAGTAGTTGAATTACAACTGTGGGGTTTCCCTTACTGGAAATTATTTTTATAATTTGTATACACATATTTGATTGTCTTGAATTTTAAAATTCAAAACCGTTCCGTATACCGAGTAACTGTGCGTTATTGTATTCTCCTGGCGATAACCCCCTATTAAGTTTTTTTCTTCTCATTATATTCGTATTTTTATGTTCATTCAATCGTGTTATAGCCTGAGCTATTGAGTTGTGCACCTTTTTAAAATTTATATTATCATTATATCATTTTACCAAAATTATTATATGTATACTTAGTTATTATACTCTATTTCCAAATTCAATTCAATTACTTTCTTTTGCTTTTCTAAATTCCCAACAAGGCGATCTGGTGAAAGGGCTCGTATGGAAGTAAAATATCGACGAACCCAAGAACAAAACAAAAATCTTAATTAATTGTGTTTTAGATTTTATCGGTCACAATTGATTAAGGATATTTATTCGTTGCTTATTGCGGGTAAATTCTTATATTTATTATAGCGAGTCGCACGCGTGTTCCGCTCTGTAGCTAAACAAACATATCACGTTACCGAAATTCACATTAATCCGATTCCTGCGTATTTTGTATTGCATTATTCTATGAAAAACATAATAGTCGTAATAACACATACACACGCGCGCGCCTCGCACGTAACACAATGTACTCATAAATAAAAATCCAAAGAATTTAAGTAAGGAAAGTGTGCAGGCCATGCACTTATTGTTAGTCATCGATTGAGTCAGTTCATGGTCTCGAAAGCCGGCTTGAACTTTCCGTCTCCGGCTCGGCTCGGCTCAAACGGCTCGATTACCCATCACTACTCATGCTTAGTTCTGGATTTTCTTGGACGAGTCCAAGTATGGGTCTTCAACTTCATTTGTTCAAACACGTCTGTTTCGTCCTCGATTAATTGTAGTAAGCGAAAAAGACCTATTTTCTCTAACAACCTACGAATATCTACGATACTCCAAAGGAAAAGTACTCTTAACAGAACATCGTCTCTGAGGAAATCCATACTTAAAGTGAAGATCTGTCCACTCGATATTAGAATAACCCATTCTGATAGCACTGTCTTCACTATGAAACGTTTAGATACATACTGATTTTCTATGAAATACGCTGTCATCAATATAAACATTACTTGTTCCAACATATTATTTACTTCTAGCAAAAAAAAAATGAACCAGTGCTTGAACTTTTTTGCCTTAAATTGTTGATGTTATAAAACAATGTAAATACCTTGGAAAGGAAAAGTTTTCGGGTCTATGTTTATACATATGTATGACATTTATTCATCTTTAGGTACAGTAGAATACAGTACCAAAGTGTGGCCATCTATTTCCTTGACACCATGTATATATAGAATATGATTTATAATTATAATGTAAATAATCAGTATTTGTGTGGTGTTTCCCGGTTTTGTCATTGTCAAACCGTACATGCACACACTCCATCAATTAAAAGTGTGGTTATGTATGTTTAAGTAAAAGCTTATTTAACAAAGAATTTACTCGTGTATAACACAAAAATTAATCTGTTAAAGTTTTGAAAAAGTGACCTATGACTATGTCAAAGTCAATTATTCGGGCATATTTACTTTATGAATTCAAATTGGGCACCAGGGTCTGATTCAATCATCCCCCATACATATTCCCAAGACATCGCGCCTTCGGACTATCATCTTTTCTTGGCAGTAGACCATTTACGAAATCGGCGATTCCATAAATGACAAGATGTCGAATGGGAGCTAAAGTACTTTTTTGATATCAGAGAGGAAAACTTTTATGAAAAAGGTATAGAAAAGTTGTCAGATCATTTTAAAAAGGTAATAGAAGCCGAAGGTGATTGCTTTTCTGAATAAAGTATTGTTCGGTCTACTTTTTGTATCATTTATCTTTATTGATTAAAACGGCATGAATTTCTTGGATACCTGATGTTTACAAATATCTAGAATACATCAATTGAATACTTAAGTATTAAAGATCGAATTGCGGTCAAATTGATCCAACCATAATATTTAAAACAAAATTATACAAAGTTTTTAGTAACTTATACTTCATTTATGACAGAGTGACTATTTTTTTATCAAAATTCTTTTCCATAATTTTCAATAGAAATTGTAGAAAACATAATTAATATTTCTGAAATAAAATATTTTCTGAAATAATTTTAGTGAAAATATGAAACTTTTTACAATATTTTATGTAGAATGTTACGAGCAGCGCATATTCACGTGAATATCCGCCCTTAAAGTTTTACGATTCCACTTCCTGAAGGTCTGATATTGCAAGCAAGAAGTACATGAATTGTATTGGCATTTGTTATTGACTTGTCGAACACTAATCCAACGATCAGGGATGTTCCTGTAATATTGTATGATAATCAGGGTTACGGTATCCGTCAAACTCCACTAATTACCTGACGCTATTATCCACTGACAACGAGACTCTGTTCTTAATTAAATTCCGTTTCGCAGGGAAATGCAAGGTCTCGCTGTTGGTTGTTCTACGAAGGCTTTCAATTAATGACCTTACACGTTGCTTCAACGAAAGCCGTAATGATACCAACGCCAGCGTGGTTCGGTAAAACAACGTAATGGAGAAAATGTCGGAGGTGTGTAGCAAAAGAGAAAGAAGTAGTCTCGTGCCCCACCAAACAAATCCGGTGGCGTGAGCGATTGGCGCGTGCGCACTCGGCGCACGCCTTTAAAGCTTCGTACCGCCAAAACGCATTCCCATGAGTCAGTCGTGCACAACCGGTCGCGTAGTACGGTTCGTATGAAACGAGTACGTTGGCTGGTCGTGAGTTTAAACGTTAAATGTGTAGGAAAACGTGCCTGTACACGTCCATTGCTTTCTATGTTCTCGAGAAGAACGATTGCATCGTTTCGAATGACGAATGTCGCGTATCAAGTACATAACTAATTTCTGGTGCGTGATCTTTTTTTCAAATTGTTCACTGCGTTTTGTCTAGTGCGAAAGGCTTTGTGAAAGACTGTAAGAGACCTAGAAATGAGAAATCTTGTGGAGAAACAACTGTCTTGGCTTGCCCTGCTTGTCACTGCATTCTACTCTCGTGAGTAATTTCATTTTTAACATTTTGATCTCAAATTTAAAAGCATCAAACTCATCCACGTCCTGGTAAAAATTATCAGTGAAACAAGAATACAAATGTGAATTTGTGATATATGATTACTACAGGTTTGTATTGTGTCTCATAAATGGAAACTAAAAGTAATGTTACAGTTAGCTCAGAATGTGTAGCTTTAACAGGTTAGATATCCATTTTCGAATGCATCGATCGAAATGTTAGATGTGCGTTGGAACCGGCGTCAGTGTTCTATTTTTAGAAAATTTTCAGTCTATTCTGGACGTGTTTTGTAGTTGGGTTTTTAATAGCCGTCCGATCTTAGAAGATAGTACGTACTTTATGAATTCGTGAATCTGTTTACGTTGTTTCTAGCGTCTCTGTAACTAATGATTAACTGACCTACACACATACACACACATACCATTCGTTGATCCCTTGTTTTCATTCAATCTGACATATCTCGTGAGGGACTTATTAATCTCATAAATGATTGAGTTTAAGAGTTTCGACATCGAATTACTGCCGCATATGTCAACAAGGTTGATGTACTACGTTCTACCCTCTTTTTGATATTTCATTTTTAAAAAAATATCTCAAGCTGCGACAAAAGTTGGTGGAGAACGTACCGTAATGTAGGTTACTTCTTTTAATTCCACATTTAATTGGTCAATTAAGCGAAACACAGGATGTAATTCCAACGAATTGTAATCGGTTATACGCCGTATGTCGTCGCGATGCATTCGTTTATTAGCATCATTGGCCTTACAAAGCAAACTCGAAACAATGTCGGAAAAAAATATAATTTTGCATTAATGCGGGTCATGTTGGAAAAGAGTAATTAATCCCCGTGAAATTCTAGAATAGTCGTTTGAGAACAAGAACATACGGTCGGTAAATTTTCTCGTGGGGAGAGACTAAAATAGCGCGGTGCTTACCACGTGGGTGAGTCTCTCCGTTACATCGTACGAGATGACGTCGCAGCCGCTGATTGGTTGACCGGATGGGCGTGCGTCTGGCCTTACTTTACCAACGTATAGCGATTGGACTGACCCGAGCCTTGGAATGCACGAACAATTCAATTGTCAAGTGTTTTTCGCGAAACGTAGAATGTTAGTGACGTTCAATCTAAACGGAAATAGTATTGAATTTTACATTGGAAACTCAGATTTTCTATTTGACAAACATTTTAAATATTCATTACGCCGTTCTTTTTCTATTAACACGTAATTAATGTTATTTTTTAGATTACTTTTTTTTAGAGTTAACTTATTACGTATTTATAGTTTTGAAGGAAGGTTACTGATACTTGTACCTGCGATAAATATTGTAAATTAGATTCTAGTTGGCAGTATGAAGTGTGATAATATTCCAACATACAAATCACGTAGGAATATATGTAGCTGTGTTATATACATACAACACGTATATTACGTAATGTATCAAACTTGTTAATGATATACAGTTAAATATTTACAAAAGAAATATCTAGATGTTTCAGCTCTTTAAGAAAATTAGTTCATATAAAAGTTCGTAAAGATACAAGAATTTCTCATAAAAACTTTCGAAACATTTAGAACTACGTCATACATGTACGTCAGTAATATTTGAATATTCAGGTATCTTAAATGTCACCACAGACACATCAGAACATTAAAGGCAACATGCTATTCCTGTTAGTACCTATTCCTTGTCATTGAAAATATATACACATTTTAAGTATCTTACAGTCTATTACAAAGAAAAAGTATTTAAAATATAATTAAAGAGAACAATTAAACTTTTCAATTTTTATTAATTGTTTCTTGCATTGTCTAAATCTAGGCGATATCTTATTATACACCTTACCGTAATACCAATGTAAGAAATTAATTAACGATACCGATGCACCGTTATTGGAGTATTTCCATCTAAAGGAACGCTTTAGGAAATTGTTGTTTGTATTTTAAGAAATGTAGATTCATTTTTTGCAATTACATCGTATGTTCGCATTTGTTAAGTATTTATTACAGTCTGCTGAATCATGGTTTTAAAATTTTAAATAAATGTTAAAAGGTAATTGTATCAGTATTTTCATATTGCTGAAAGGCAAGGTATTTTAGATACTGTTGATATCTTTAAAATCAGTTTTGCAATAGTGCAGAAATTAATTGAAAAATACAATTTGGAATAAAAGCATTAAAAGTGTTTATATGTCTTTCCTATTGTTTCTATTATTTGAATTGCTACAGATTATCTGGTACGAACAGAAAGGGCAAGTATAAATTATCTTCTAATAGGTTATGTGAAAGGAGTTGTTCTGATCGTTATCGGGTCTGTTACTATCGGCAGCATCGGGTTCGCAGACAAAATAGTGCGTCAAGGATTCTTTTGAATTCTCGATGAAGATGGTCGTATTCACGCAGGCCTCAAAAACAACCTGGGGCTCTTTTTCACTGTTGTCCGTTCCTTCACGAGGTGAGCCGGTTTCTTGCGTCGCATTCCATTGAGTTTAAGTTCTCCTTTCGTAACTGGTCGCGAATGGGTATACATATACGTGTAGCCAAGATAGACGGACGTCCGGTCATCAGTCTCTTTTCTCCTTCCGTAGGTTCTCGCTATTCGTGGAATGTGAAACAGCATCACGCGATCTTCAGAGTTGTTGCTCTTGCTAGACTCGCTCTTCCATTACACATCTCCTTCGATGTCCAAATTAGTAATGTGTCCTTATAGCGTACTTTGAAAAAGTTGTTGGTGCAACTGTGTGAAGTGATTTTTTTGGTTTTAAGACTCTGTAGAGTTTGAGAACTTTACATCAGTATACATTTAGTGTCCAGGTACCGAAGACCTTCGTCTACGATTTTATTCTATAAGATAAAATACTAGCGTGGTACACGGCTTTGATTGTTTCTTAATTGTATTGTGTATCGAAGGACTAAAATAATGTTTCAGGTATTAGTACGTCAAACGTGTAAATACTAATCCAAAATAAAGTCTTGTAAAGGCTCGAATTCTTTTAATCCAAATGATTTGAGTTTGATCCACGTTTCAGTTAATGTTGATAGTTAATTTTGATGATACTTCCTCTAACACCGATTTTACTTAGTTATTTCAAGAACTAAGAAACGCAACGTGCAATGTTCTAGAGATTATGTGTTTATTGTAACTGATAAATAACAATAGGCCAAGTTCAAAATTAAGTGACTGTTGGAAAGAACGGAAGTGCATGTGCGTATGCGTAGCACAAGACGACTACAGTTGCATTCATTACGCGGGGTATTCTGTATAATTTCCCCTTTCTGTAAGGTTTACATCGAACCATTTAACTCTTAGTAATACTTTTTATTAAACAAAGTGACCAGGAGCACCTATTTTTAGACTTTGCAAAATGAACTGAAAAGGTCACAGGTGGCGTCAAACTTTAAAAAGAATAAGTTTAAATACTGCCAATTAAGGGAGAAAAAGGGGATCTATATTTTATAAGAAAGTTACTTTTCGGTAACCTCTCCTATCTTCAGTGCCTTCCAATTCATTTTGCTAGTTACAATTCCATTAAACCGGTTCAGTTTCATTATAATTACTTTCATTTCCTTTGAATACTTCATACTTCGTTCGGAGGAAATACGATGGTATACTGTTGTATATATCAAAGAGCAGTAAAATGTTGCTAATAGGCGAAGCAAGAATTCGTTTGGTCCGGGGAAACATGGATAAATCAAAGTACGCAGAATTTAATCATGTTAAGTGGGATTCCCCGGAAAATCGTTCATTAAAGGAAATATTGGGATAAGACAGTATATCGGATGACCCATCCGTGTTTCATTCGATGAATCCTGCCTCTGATCCTAAGATTCAAACATCTCAAAGTACTGAAATTTTGATCTTTTAGTCTGTCTAGTTGTTTGTTTCTTTGTTTTAAGCGATTTTTACTTTTTTGTTTACGTTCGAACGATTTGCAATCAACGTGCATCGAGAATTCCCTGGCGAATATGGAAAACAGTAAAATTGAAATTGTGCCGCAATTTGATCTTTTTATTTCAACGGGTATCGATTTTATCGCTTCAGTTCTTTTTCTTTCTTATCTTAGTTGACAAGAAATTTCGATAGTAGTATTCTTAATAATACTATTATATAGACTATTAATTAAATAATCTATACTATGTAAGTTTTACTATTCTTGTGAGTGAAGATGTGTTTCCTTCCAATATACATAGATAGTGGAAAACTCGTAAGATTTAATCTACACACATTCGATGGTTTATGTCAGGAAAAAATTCGTTTATTCATAAAATATGTTGTAGTCATGTAAGTATAATTGAAATAATAATTATGTTCGAAGATTGTCTTTAGAATCTTTGCTTTATATACAATCATTTTAGAATGACACATACAGCAAAATCAATCAAGTTGCTTGGCATGTGTGAAGACTAAATTTATTTTTATGTTTTTAATCTCAAGTACCTATATATCCTACCTTACTAAACAAGATAACACTATCCTAAATTTAGTTGTTGCTTTTAAATCCATAAGTTCACGACACGTTAATCAAAGATTTACGTAGTACATAGTTGGAATGTGATATGTGTATTTAAGCCAGAGTATTGCTACCAGTTCGGGACTGAAATTATTCGGACCTGTTAGGTTCGATTACGTTCACTATTTGATATGGATGAAATTTTATCGAAGCTTGCAACAAAAAACTGTCGCTAAGTTAGGGGAATGTATAATATCGGGCCATTACGTTTCACTATTGGTTGTTATGAACTTCAGCTACTTCACTGAAACATCGGATATACAGTGTGGTCCACACAACTTATTCACCCGGAATAACTTCTAAAGTATGCATTGTATAACGAAATTTTCTATAGTAAAGTTGTATGCTTTGAAGGAATACATTATGTGATGCATATATTTTTTCTGTAAGTGGAGGCGTTTCGGAGATTTGAAAGTCAACTTGGTTTAATTAAATGTAATGCTATATTTTTTATGCCAAAATATCGAAGAGCGTT